TGTAATTAGCAGGTTGGTTGTTGTTGTTTTTTATCTGTTTACAATCTAATCAGCGATCTAGTTCACACTGGAAACCAGCTAAACAAAATGTCAGTTTACGATCGTTTCATAGTCTTGAAGGCCATATACGTTTCTACGCGTTTGCCAACTTGAACAGACTCGTGAAGACATAGCTTAAGAAAAATATTCTTCCAAAGGTGTCTCTATTTGCGGAGAGTGGCCAACTTCTCTGCAATTATTAATCTATTCACTGTTTTTTTCCCCGCAGGGTCGAGTGACGGATCACAGGATAGGCTTGACCGAGCACTGCCTGGAACTTTTTCTTGAAGGAGAAGACAAACTAAATGATATGATCCTGGCCTTGCAGTCTCAACATGAAGCCGAGGCCTTACAAGAACTCACCACTCAATACACCGCTGGAGTTGATAAACACGTCAGATAACAGACGCTGTAGCTGCGAGTGTTTGTATGGATTTGCACTAGTATATGATGTTTTATTGGAAACGGCAGAAGATGTATAGTAAAAGTATCCGGAGTTCTGGAAGAAACAAGCGGGAATTTTCGCGGTCTATTTTTCATAAGGAATTCAGCTTGTTTCACCGCCTTGCAAGGTTTAAAATCACTACATCGAACAAACTTGGGACTTACTTTCAATAGTAATGACAAAATAGTACTAGAATGAATGCCTCATAGAGCCTCAACTCAAAATTTACTCTCACCTTGTGAAGCATATGAACAAACATTAACATAGGAAATTACTTTTCAGTTTTATTTTTCATGTAAATGGCAACGCGGCATAAGCATTTCAGTCACAAACTGAAACGTTAAACCACTTCGTAGCATAATAACAGCGTAACAACAGGCAGGAATGAACCTGAGTTTAATATAAGTGTCATTGAAATGTTCACGCTGTGAGATTGTTTTGTCCTTCAGCAATTCAGTTTCATTTTTAACAGAACAGTGAAAGAAAATAAGAGTGATGAAGAGAGAAAAATCAGAAAATTCCCAAATGCAGCTTAAAGGAGTGACCCAAAATATCTAGTTAGTGTGATAAATTATGGAAAGGTCTAACTCAGGTGCAAACTTTCATTTAAACGTTTGATGTAACAAAGTTTACAGCCATTATATTATACAAAATGGGATGATTGTGGTTGTTGAAAGACAGTAAAAAATAATTATGCCGATTTATATGCTGTATCTTTAACTTATCCGTTTTTTAGGTTTTTTTCCTTCGTTTGTTTTTTTTATTTGTAAAGAGAGTTCTACTTGCAGATATGTTTCGCTAATTTGACTTTGTCTTTCAAGGCTTGCCGGACAGCTCGTAACCTGCCATGGAAACAAACAAAGTCCTTAAAAATGCGCCATCACCTGTTTCAATATACACACGGTGGTGTTGGTGTTTTATTTTAAGGTCTTTTGCCGATACTCTGCAAAAAATGAATTGATATCTCAATCCGGCTCAATATAATAATTAATAATATATCAATATGGCAGGTATGTTTCTGATTCAGTCAAATGGAGTTTTAAGGTGACAAGTCTTTAGATGTTCTATGAATGATAATATTGAAGACACATTAACAATTTCGTAAAAGCGCGCAGCTAAGTTTTGTTCTTTTTGACTTTTACGATAATTTTGGCTCGATAATAAAACACCAGTTACTTATCAGTTTGAATTAAAATCAGCAAGATAGGGAATTTTTTCAGGTCTTGTGAAATTATACACTTTTTTACTGCATGAAAATGCTTTGAATCATTTAGAACTATAGGAGATCCCTATTTTTGTTCCTACTGTTATTTTTGTGTCCCATTTATAGAAACAACAAATTAGTTCAGAGTTACTTGCAATATTAATCACATTGTCGTGAAAGGGCCCTAGGTGACTTGCAAAATTTTGTTTTAGACTACTAGATATTCTTTTTCCTATTCAGTGATTACGACATTTTATGGAGACAACTGGATTAATAACCGGTCTAAAGGATCGACTCAATAAAGAATATGCAAATTTTGAGATTTTGCGAGCTCTAAGACTGTAACGGCTTTGTATCGAATACTTTGATCCAGAACGCCGTCAATATATTACCGCTCGTGCAAGAAACCCCGTCCTCACTCAAGGCCGTGGTACGTTGGTTAAAGCAGTTAATGACACCTTCAAATGACTACTTCTCGACGTGTGTTATCTCAAAGAGGCCTTAAATTTGCATAAAGACAGACAGATAGACGAATTATGGGAACAACTGAATTAGCTTCAGCTGGTCGACTTTCAAGCTTGTACATCGGATGTACTTGTGACATTTAAAACTTGATTTCCAGCATTTAATCTACCATGAAATACATTTTAACGGACAGTATAATTCATTAGCTCAGGAACAAACAAATCGCCAGTGAAAAAATACTCACGTTGTACGCACCATAACGGACTGAATCTGTCCTGACTCAACGTGTCGCAAAATTCTCTTTCAGGAAGATACACAAGAAACATTTCAATGGATAAAATCAACGCAGCTCTTAATTGCTTTCTCGAAACTCACGCCGAAACCTTCGTTCTGCAACGTCGACAAAGATTGATGGAAATCGAAAAAGTAATCAATCCAATACTATCAGAAGTGAAAAAAATCGACGAGCGATTTGACTTTGAGACGTTAAGTGGTAAAAGCTTTTATGTCGTTAAGTCGCCAAACCACTATGAAATATTACTTGTTTTTCAAGGGATAGACCCGGAAGAGCTGGCGATTGAGGATGGACAAACACCGCCTGGATTTTCATTGGTTAGGCTAACAGGGAAAAAGATGGTTTCCAAGTGGAAGTTTTGTAGTGGAAATAGTAATCCCAGCAAAGTTTATATGTCAGCAAAGATTGTTAAGGAAAAGATTTTTGAGCTTGTCAAACGAGTAGTGATCAGTGGATCTTTTCGAGAAGAGCAAGAGGGAAAAATATGTATCGAAGTCGACGAATCACACGACGACGATGCAATTCGAATCTCAGTCAGCGGTCGCGATAAGGAGTCATACGGCCTCCATCTCATCCCGGCCATTCCTTGTCCCGGACGGTGGGTATTTTCTGCGCATGCGTGGGAAACCAAGCAACCTGATGGGCTAAGCAAAAAAGTAAAACAAGATATACTACAGAGGGGAGTACAACTCGTTGCCAGGACCTCTCCCAGCAAATCATCTTACCAATGGCAAATCGACTTTTCAGGTCCCATGAGAATGTTGATTGAACTGGACATGGGATGCCGGAAAACATGTCTTCTGATTCTTGAAATAATTTTGGAGGACATGCAATGTGGTAGAAGCGGATGCGATACATTTCACCTGGAAACCCTTGCGATACGTGTAACCCATCAACTGCCATTTAAGTCCTTCTGGGACGAAGGTAAACTTGCCAAACGACTTATGGATATCATAAAAGAACTGCAACGATGTTTGTTGGAGAGTAACCTTGAGCACATTTTTCTTCCAAGCATTAATTTGCTTCGAGATGTCGATAAACTGGCTTTAGAAAACTGCAAAGAAGGTCTTCAGCAAATACTGCAAGATACTGAAAAGTATTTCCGTCAATTTGAACTCTTTAAGTACACTACTTCCTTGTAAGCGGAAGAAATGAGAAGAGTGGTAGTAGTGTTAGAACGTGCAGTGTCAATAAATCGAAACAGTACAACCATGTGTGGCAAACGCACCAATTCAGATACTGCAATTAGTCAATCAAACATGATGGCGCATCCGATATAGGTGGTTCCTGGCTGTGAAAAACGGCCGACTTTCCTCCTGAATAGACCTCTATAGCTTGTATGTTTTGTTTTCCCAATAGAGGTCCAATGGGAACTTGATCCTTTGTCTTTTCAAAAATTATACGTACATATGCACATGAATAAGACGAAATTTAAAAGAATCGGTTCCCTAGAGTATTATCACATGACCTGCACTGAGAAAACAAAACATGCAAACTAAAGAGGTCTATGATATAAAACAGCGCGGTTTCTTTATTTACTGGCTAGAACTTAGGACCAAAGGAAAGATATGTATTTTTAGCTTTCTAATTCGACTCACTTAGGGTTCCGAGATCACTTGACCATTGATATGCTATTGCCTGTGAACATCACACCAATTGACACCAATGAGATTGCTTGAGCCTTATTTTATGGTCATGGTAGATTTTAGTAAGTAGATATCTGTACTGTACTGTAATTTCTAAATAGCATTTGTCGGTGCATACGCTCCAACATTTATTCAGCATATCTCGGCTTTTACTTTGTATTTATCCCTGTACCTATTGTATCAAACTCGATTGCTGCTTGCGTCTCCCTCCATGAGGTACATTTATTAGAGAGATTAACATGATTAAGGCAAATTGAACCACGTAACCAAGTTTTCCAGTAACTTTCTATCTACCGTTTATTTTATCTACAAAGAAATACTTAGTTTCATATCCAGTCAGTTTCATCCACAAAAATTATTTTGGATGAGTTTTTATAATTACCTGTTCATCTCCTAATTTAAGAAATTTTCAACTTAAATTTCGCGTTTGACGATTGCCGTAAACAAAAGTGATTCTTGTTCTTCGTGTTCACACTTATTGTAAGAATATTTCTTATTTGTCCTCAGCGAGACGGTAGAGAATGTAATTGCAGGCAGTCCATAAGCCCTTACTGCATATTGTTTTAAATTATCCCACCTCTTTTTGTCAAGAAACAGCAGCGCGGAAAGTCCACGGAAGTAATTCAATGCATAATGAATCACGTGATGCATATGTAAACGAGGTTGAAACTTAAGGTGGCGAACACGCCGAACACGGTTTTGCGGGCGGTCTGCGGTAACTCGCGTGACGGCGCGTGTTTTAAATTGGACAAACAAATATGGCGGCGAAAAAAGCAATAGTACACAGGCGACGATTTCTCAAAATCTACTCATTAAAATTTTGTGAATATTTGGCAGAATTTTCACTTTTATCGTATTTTAAATAATGAGAACGAATCTTTTAGGGAAATCGAAAAAAGTTCGAGTTATCGGGAGTTTGAAGCAAATAACCGGAAATAAGGAAATAAGCAAATGGATGGGGAGGGAATGCAATTAAGCAACAAACTTGTATACGGGGATGGACAATGAATTTGAACAGGTCAGTCACAAAAGACAAAGACGAAGAATTAATACAGTTGTTTTGAAATAAATGTCTCGGACTTCGGTAAATGTTTTTTTTTCAACTTGTCAGGCGATAGTTCGAGTTATCGAGGATAAAATTATATAGAAATGATCTGAAGCGAAACAAAAATTACTTCGAGTTAACGGGAGGTTCGAGTTACGGAGGGTAAAATAACAGTAAATGTATGAAGGAAATCCAGGGGAAATCGACTTCGGTTCGAGTTAGCGAGGTAGAGCGTTTCCACATGACATCACAGACGGCCAAACAATCCTGTGGGAGTTGAACTATTTTCTTATGTTGACGGATTTTTTGGTCCTATGAATTTGCTGCGTTTCTGGCCACGTGAGTGAAAACGCCCTATAGACACCAGTTTTGGCGACGAAGAGACGACTGCCACTGAAAAAAATGTTTGCGGGGGCAGCTAAAGTGGCCACCAAACAGAGCATGACGAGGAAAGATCGATCAGAGAGATTCAATTGGGACTACACTCTTCGGGTGTAATTACGACAAAAACGATACACCAACAGTTTCTCGTGTATTTACAGACTCCTTTGTGCATACAGCTATTTCGAGTAAGGTTGTCGGAGAAAAATGTGTACGCGACAATCTCGAAAGGTAATATGGGATATGATCAATTCACTGTTCCTGAAACTGTAGCTGTCGAACTTAGTTTTGTTGCTTTCCTTTAGCACTTTCATACATAAGTCCATGGCCTCTCGTGCCATTTTTTCAAATTTCTTTGAAGAACAGTGAACTCAAAACCACCCAACTGTATCTTCCAGAATCCCTCCATCGTTACGGGGAATCTGAAAACATGTTTTTTCACGTTGTTAGTGTTTTATTTCACACATAGTAAGGATACTGTGTACCAAGAAAACATAAATTACTAAGTGTTTGAAAAATGCTTTTCACACAAGAACAAAAATAGACCTATGTCTCTAACGAGTTTCTGAAATCATTGCGCTGTTTGTCGCTCACTGAGTTGCCTCGCGCCTCGCTGCCTGTGCCGTTCTCTCCTTCAAGTTACGATAAAAACATTTCCGGAGTTTTAAAGTGACTTAGATGGGAGCTTTAATTTAACCTCGACAAGTTTCTCTTAGTCCATCTCTGTTCATCGCAGATTGCAATGAATTTTAGGGGAAAATGTGACGAAATTGAGAGAAATTCAGCTTACTATGAGGAAATTAATCAAATCACCCTTAGTCCTTCACATCAGAGAACTATTGAACCTTTCTTACAAATGAAATCACAACAATATTTAAAACTTGATAGGTGCTTACTTATTTGATAATATATCAATATTTAATAACCACCCTTAATTTCTGTTATCTGAATTTTAAAATTGTTTGCGAGTGATCAATTAACCAATGCCGTTATCGTTGGACCACAAACGCATCATGTTTCTAAGCTACACACTAAATGTTTTGGCTTATTAGCGTGTGTTTTTTTCCTAATTCAAAGAAAGTATTTTCTCCTTGGCATCACGTCGACTGAATCGCGTTCGTTTGGCTACAATTTCCCCAAATCCCCTTTATAGAGTAAAGTACAGCAACACTCGTTTTTCTTCAGATAATCAGTATTTAACTACACAAACCAGAGAACAAATTAAGGAGAAAGGTGAATAATTGGTGAGTGCAAATGGAGGGATCGGCGTCTATTATCCACGATCCTTCACCAACTGATTCTGATCACTGGTTGAATGGATTTCTTCAACAAAATTGTGAAGAAGCACGGAAGCGGGTTCAAGAGGAAAGAAATATTTGGAACTTGTCAAATAATGAAAATTCATGCGAAGAATTGGACTTGTCGGCAATCTTCAATTTTACTAACGACGATGAATCAGGAGAATACGAGGATTCGTCTGGTGAAGTGGCTACAGAACCAATGATAGCTAACGATGGTGTATCGATTTATAACAATGAGCGACATATTGCGCAAGAAAACACGCCTCAACAGTTTAATGATCTTGTGGATCAATCAGGGACGCCGTCGTCAGAAGTAAAAATTCCAAACGAATCTCAATGCTCTAATTTCAGTCCACTCCCTGAGAGAAGTAAATCAGTCAACGATGCTGTGTCGATTCACGCTGAGGACGAGCGAATGACACAGGACAGTAGTCGTATGTCTACGGCACATCTCGTTACGGAGGGAAGCAGCGAAGCCGATTGGGATTTTCAAACCGAATTAGTGGAAGTTTCCAGTATGGGAATTGTGCATGCAAAGCAACAGCTCTCACAAGCAATAAACGAATTCTACTTGAATATAGTAGAGAAGGAACGTTTAAGTTTCAGACACACGATGAAGCAGATCGAAGAAACGGTCAACGAAGTCTTGGCAGAGGTAGAACGACTCGACAGCAGTTTCAAGTTGCGTAGAATGAGCGCTCATAGCTTTTATGAGATAAAGTCGAGGAGTGAAGTCGACATACTTGTTGTTCTTGAAAATGCAACCCTAAATGACTTTGTTATCGAGGATTTAAAAACACCTGCCGGATATGCACGGTTACGTTTGACGTCATCACCAAACATGGCACCATCGTCACCTATTACGTCATCGAGTGGTCAGATACTTGAGTGGTGTACAGAAACACAGCCGGGCGAATTATATTTTTCGCCAAAAAAGTTGTGTAAAGCATTTGCAGCCATAGTTTCCAAAGCAGCTGGGAGAATTCTAAAGAATGGATCCAGAGTAACACGGAAGCGAGTGTCTTTTTCAGACACAGAAGCTACCGTCGCCTTCACCGTCAATCTCATTCCTGCCGTGGTTTGTCCACAGAACTGGCCTCTTTGTGCTTATTGGCTTAGAAATTGCACCAAAAAGTGGCCAGAAGTGGAAGTCAAGAACAAGATTATTCGAGGAGGGATGCATCTTATTGGCTTAGCAACAGGCAAAGATAACGACTCTTTGTGGAATATAAACTTTTGCTCTGCTCGACGGCTTCTTTTTCAGTCTGATTGTGACGGCAAACAGAAATGTCTACGCATTTTGAAAGTTCTTCTGGAAAGAGATTTGTCGCGACCTAAAGGTCTTTTGCTGCTGCACCTGGAAAATATTGTAATGTGGGCGAGTAGGAAGCACTGGAAAGAGGAAGATTGGGCCGAGAACATGATGGCCGAAAGATTTTTAGAGATGTTAGTAGCTCTTCACAAATGCTTAAACAATCACGACTGTTACCATTTTTTCGTTCCAACGATTAATCTGTTTAACGAATTGAAACCCGAAGTTGTCAAAATACTAGCTACGAAAGTTAAAGATATCTTGCAGGATCCTTTGAAGTACCTTAAAAATTAAGTACAGAAAGAGGTATGGTTAATATCTCTTTGGTGCAAAGCAGTTTCAGTAAAGGTTTGGAAATGTCACAGGAAGCTTCTGGATGACATATCGAGATCAAGAGGTCAAAGTGAAGAGGATCATTTATAAATTCTATTATCAACTGATTGATAGATAGAACTAATCTTACAGCATCTCAGTCCAAGTAGTACCACAAAGGATGGAGAAATTAGGAGGAAAGACTGCTGTAATTAGGGCACAACTAGACTCTTATAGCAAATCACTGGCAAACTCTAGAATACAGTAAGATGAATGGCACTTAAAGTGGATGGGAGGTCCTAGCTCATGATAACGCTGGGGTAATTCTTTACACGTATGCATAGCTTGAAATCAGCAGTAGTGCACCCTTTAGCAGCCATGCAAGAACTATACGAACAGATGTTACCGACCAAATTATATAGCCAAGGTAAAACGATGAGAGTAAATAGAACTAAATAAATAAGGACACTCATTCAAGCTAAGTAGATCGCCAGGTGCAATGTAGTCCTTAGTATCCTGTCCTTTGAACCACTTAGAGACCTACGATCTTATTTCAGAAGTGCAGGCACGGTATTCAAAGACCCAACCCAAACTACTGTATGAGAGTGAATGTGCGAAGGCATTATGGGACAGCACCGAGGTGAGGGCTAACAGAATTGATGCCAGGATTACTGACAAAAGCCGAAGCGAATGGATTAATAACCATTAAGCAAAACCATGGAAAAGACACAGAAATAGGGTCCATTTTGATGGGATTTAAAGAGGAAAATCCTGGCTACCCAGCAAAACAATATACCACTATCGCTAACGTATGCTGGCCTAACAGGGCCATAGAGTTTTTTTGGTATATTGTCTTTTCTTTTCTTCTCCCCCCGCCCCTTTTTTTTAAATTTCTTTCTTTGTCCATTTTTCTTTTACTTTTTTTTCTTTCCTTTGTTTGTAGGTTTTTTAAAATTTATTTTTACTTTTTTCAAAAAATATTTCAGTTTACTTTTCATTTTAATTTGCTTTTCAGTATATTATTTTTGAGGAAAAAATTGGGACTTAAAAACAGGTGGAGTGCCATTAAAAATTGCGCACATAGAAGATGGAGACTGCGGCGGATGCACAATGCCAATATCTAAAAGTTAATTTTTCTTTCAACAGGGTTTGATTACAAAATGCGACTTCGGCATGATATCAAGAAAACCAATAAATTTATAGATTAAATGTCGCTAATTTAAACTTGTAATTTGTATAAAGGTATGATGAAAACATTCACAGTGCTTCAATAGCTGTTCAGAATGTGAATATCGTCAAATTGAAAAACTGATACTTCAATGTTTTGTTTTCTTATAACATGGGATAACGAGGGAATAGAATTGATATAACCCTCGTAGCAGGCGGTTTTGTCTGTGTTTTTCGTTCGTGTTTCGTAAAGTAAGAAGTTAAATGAAAAAGTAATAGGGGATGGATGCGAGAAAAAAGGCAGAGAGAACAACTGTCTGTCCTCTCTCCCTTGCCTCTTCCCCATCGTTTTCTCGTTTGACTTCGGCTCAGTTTTCTCGCGGCTGTATCCCTTGCTTTACGAAACACAAACGAAAAATCGCATGCTCGGCACGCGCCTACATATAAATGACTGATAGCTGAAAATCAGAAAAAGAAACAAATCATGTGAGCAACTTAAACAAAGCAACATAACACACACCACGCTGAAAACTAGTTTTTATTACAAATCATAACAATATAGATCTACAAGAAATACTTTTTTGCTGTTAAACTACAAGACGGGTGCAAACAGAGTAATTAGAAAACTATCCGCTGTGAGGACCCAGAAATTAACTGGGCACTCCAGAGGATGATTTTTTAATCATATTCTGATCAAACTAAAGGGAATTACTCTTAAGGCCCATTTTCCTACGACTGCCGAGAGCTTTTCATAGTTCCCTCACCATTAACCTCCTAAGAGACTTGTCAACATCAGAGAATCAGGCTTACACTTGTTCTTATTTGTTTTTCAAATCCACCATAATACATTCTGTTTGCCCCACACTTTGCATAAACTATGTTTTCCAAATGCTCCTGGCTCCTGACTGCATATGAAAACAATAACTTATGTACACTTTATTTTTGGGGGGTGGGGGGGGGGGTGGGAAGGGCACATAGCGAGTATTATGGGAGATTTGAAACTAGTCAATAAAGGTCCTTCCATAATTACAAATTAAAATCAAACAAACAAACAAACAATATTCAAAATAAAGCTAAACAGAGTAATATTAGCTCAACGTTAAGAAAAAAGTATAGGTTGGTCAAAAGGTTGGTAACGCTCTCTAGGAATACAGGGCAACTGACCACATATTAACAAGCTTTTCGATAACATGGCGCTAAACAAAGTTTTCCTCCGTCTAACAGACTTCAACAGACAGGTATGGAAGGCAGAGAGGTTAGTCTTACGATATGGACCAAAAACGGACGCAGCAGTCATGTCCAACACTGACTAAGGTGTTACTGTCCAGCCACGAGACACGGGATATGACGCTTTGAGGGTGGGCACCTAAAATACCGCACAAGATAACAGTTTCTAAAACGTTTAACTGCAAGCTTGTAACATTTATTATTATAAATTGTACGCACTATTTGTCTTCTCATTGTCTACAAGCCTACAGTTAAGTTAGGAAATCAGTGCAACCTAAAGATTATGTAGTCCTCTGTCCGAAGATAACTGACTAATCGGTAGGCTGCGCGCACAATACATGTTTTGAAGAACATTGTCAAACTGTGTTCCGTGCAACAGTGTGTGGGTAGTTCTTGTTCTTCAAAAAGTGTATAATACAAAAATTATTAGGTTCAGTATTTTATGATACTCCGAATAATCAAATTATTGAATGAGGTCGAGTATGATGTGAAGAATTATGCAGATCTCGGAGGATGTTATCCACCGAGGATGAAGGAGGAGATGGATAACATCCTCCGAGATCTGCGTTATTCACATCACACGAAAGCCGAATTCGATAATAATTAACAATTATTGGACGAGGTTGAGCAAAATATCGTGATTTGTCTGTGGCGAGCAGACCAATTATTTTCCGAAGACGAAGGCTGAGGCAAATAATTGATCTGCGAGACACTGACAAATCACGATATTTTGCGATAACCGAGTTCAATAATTTTTTTATCATTCGATCACCAAGTTTGTTTTTTTTAATGAATATCGTCGGGAAGCGAAGCGATCTGCCATTTTCACGCAAGAGCGATCGCAAGAAGGAGAAAAACACGGTTTCCTTTACGCATGTGCAGAATATTACTTGCAGCCAAACACTTAAGCCAAACACTTAAGCCAAACACAGTTGGACGTCATTGCGCATGAGCAGACCATTATTTGTAGGCAGTTATTTGCAGGTCACGTGATGGGCTCTCGGCCAATGAAAAGAAAAAAAAATTTGCTTCGAATGAAAATTGCTTTATTATTCATTCAAATTATTCCTCAGTTCTTAACAAGATTACCTCCACGGGGACGTTCTTCAAAACTTTGGCCTATTTCTCAGCACGGTTTCAAAATATAAAAGAGATGGTTTTTTTTGTAGATACCATCCATCGAGCAATATGTTTTGCGTATTTCCGTATTCTTGTATTTCTTCCGTTAGGTTTTAGTCGGAAATTCAGTTATTTCGTCTTCGGAAAGCCGTGAACGCCTTTTTTAGAATAAACAGCTTGGCAGCCGCGCCTGGAAGCGAGGTTGATCGATGGTCTATTACCCAAGCAGCCTCGTTTCCAGGCCAATATACCATCGATGAAACTGGTTTTGAAACAAATATATCAATTGATGGTATATTGCTAGCATCTTCCAAATTTGGGCAACGACGGTTGGTTGCGAAGAATTAGCCGGGAGATTTCGATTTTGATTATTACGAATATCACAAAAACCTCATCCAAAAATTGTTTAATATAAGTCTACAAATACTGGCCATTCTAGCAGTAATAAAGACTTTCGAATGAAGAAATTTTCAGAAAAAATTCGTTCGTCTTCGTAATGAGAGACTATGAATACAACAACCACAATAAATATTAAGAAAAATAGCTTTCTTAGCCTGAAAAAACAACAACAACAACAACAACAACGAAAGAAACAATAGAAACGAGCTTCCTGACTGAATGACTGACTGATTTCTAAGATTTTTGTTTGTTGTTGTTGTCCAGTTTAACTAAATTTAGTCAGAAACTATATAATACAAAACGTTAATCAAAATTCAAGCCAAAATTAAACTGTTTGGTATCCCGTAGAGGACTAACTAAACTAAACTGTTTAAAAGCAACTGACAAATCATTGCTCAACTCACTAATTGCCAAGTCCTGGGCGTCATTAAAATTCTGCACATTCAGTGCCACCTGCCTTAGATCTACATTCTTAAAAACAGTTGTTCGGTACCCAGGGCGCTTTCTTTGAGGGACTCTGATCTTGCAAATATGTCTGTTATAGATGTTGCAAGATGATATATGTAAATGTTAGAAGTCACGTTTTGATGTGAAAATGTAACTTACAATTGGCAAATATCAGAATGAACACAATGAAGAGTCAATTAAGAAGGAGAACGAAAGAAAAACGCCACCAGTCTCTAAAAACTGTATCAATCCATCTTCTATTTTCCATAAATATGGCAGTAGGCAAGATACAGGCGTTTCTTGAAAATTGTTTTCAAAGTATGGGCTAAATGAGTGCCGCTGTCACATATGACTCACCTTTTATTTGAATCTTTTTATTTGGGTTTTCCAAGTTGTAAATGAGTACGTTTGTGTCCAATGCACCACTTGCAATATAGCGAGAGTCTGGTGACCAAGCCAAACAGGTTACTCGTGCCACATGTCCATCAAATTTGGTAGTGTGCTACAAGAAAACACATGACAAGTTAGGTAAATGATGTCACATTTCAACTAGTTACAAAGGCTGATTAAGCCTATTATAGCAGCGATGAAAAACGAGCATTTTACAAAGAGTAAATCCATGA